ATGAGGAGTGACTGACTGTTAACGAACACAGAATGTATTCCAAACATGATGACTGCTGAATTCTGAGAATATGCTATGAAATGTTGAAATATACTCATTTATCAACTGAACTGTATGGTATGCAATAAAGCTGCATACTGTAAAATCATAGTAATTTATATCTACGAAAAAGTCTGCATTCAAGTGTTTGCAGCAGTTTTGTTTACAATTGCAAAAGCTTAGAAGCAACAAAATAAACTATGGTGCCTACAGAATATGGAATATTATTAAGTGTTAAGAAGAAATAAACTATCAAGCTATGGAAAGACAGGAAGGATCCTTAAATGCATATTACCAAGTGAAATAGGCCTGTCTGAAAAAGCTGCTCATCCTACAAATCCAACCGGCAAAGGCAAAGCTACAGTGATAACTGAGGTTGGTGGGTGCAGAGAGGAGAGGGCAGTGACTGCATGGAACACACAAGACTCTTACATAGTGAAATTATTCACGACGTTTTAATTTTACTCATTTAGAAGAATGTTGGAAAGGGAGAGACAGAGAGGCCTTCCATCTTCTGGCTAACTCCCTAAATGCTTGCAGCAGCTGGGGCCAAACCAGAGCCTGGAGCCTGTAGCTTGACCCTGTTCTCCCACGTGGGCGGCAGGAACACAGTGTGTGGGCCATCATCTGCCACCTCCTGCCAGGGTGTGCACCAGCGGGGCACTGAATGAGAAGTGGAGGTAGGACTTGGTCCCTGGCACTCTGATGTAGGATGTGGCAGCCACCTGTCTGCCATACTCTCAGGCACACACCTGATTTACCTCTGCATTGTCCACTACTGATAACACTGAGCTCTGAATATTGCCAGTAAACAGTGAATTTGACAACAAGTCCAAAACCTGTGTAGTCCTTGTCTGGGAAAGGGGGAGAAAGGCAGAATCGTCACTGAGACACTCAGCACCCATCATCCAATAGCATCTCACTTCCATGCGCAGAGACCAAGTCTGTCACCCTCAGCAGAGGCCACATGAGGCATCGGGGGACACAGGATGCCTTTTCTCAGACCCCCATCTTCCAGATTCCAAAGGGCTCCTTGTTTTGAAGACATTTATTTGAAAGGGAAAATTCATAGGGAGAAAAAGACCAAGACAGACTCTTCCATCCACTGCTTCACTCCCCAAATGGCCACAATAGTCAAGATGGGCCAGGCTGAAGCCAGGAGCCAGGGGCTTTTACTGGATTCCAATTTGGAAAGCAATCGAGTCATCTTCTGTGGCTTTCCTGCACCATCATCAGGCAGCAGGATGGGAAGTGGCGCAGCCAGGACTTGCAGCACTGGCATCCACTTGAGACGCTAGTGTTATAGGCAGTGGCTTTGCCAATCATCCCACGATGCCAGCCCCAAGAGTCTGTTTTTGAGGATACCAAGATTGTCACTGTCTGGGTTGTCCCTTGCTGCACAGAACGAGTTAGAGGACCACTGCCCCTCAGCTCCACATCCTCAACGGCGTCCAGGTGGAGGCTTCCTAGGGCTGAAGGGACTGGAAGGCCGTAACGGTGAGCTAGCCTTGCTGCTCAGGGAAGGTGCAACTCCATTCTAGCAGTGTCTACCTTCTCTCCCCGACACTGTGCCTCTTCTAGAACACCAGTCTGCAGGAAGTCTCGGTCCTTTCCTGGAGTGACTCTTAAGACAGAAAAGGAGTAAGCAGCTGCCTCCAGAGTCCCAAATGTTGCACTGCTGTGACTGACCAGGGAGCTTATTCCATGGCAGAGTGGGGAGTGCAGAGTCAGTAGCATGCATACCATGCTACAATGAGACAGGATGACAGTCTCACCGCCACCAGACTCGCAGTGCATTCAAGCATCTATTCTGACATTAGAAGCAGGGGGGGCGGTGAGGGGAGCCTCGCACTCCAGGGGGGTTTCTCTGAGAGCTTGGAGCCCTAAACCAGAGCTCCGGAGTAGGACTGCTATGTTCCAATCACAGCGTCCTTTCCTCCACGCTCCATCACATTGGAGATGCTTCCAGAATCCTCCTTGGGCTTCCTTCCAAGGTCCACAGGCACTGAGCAGGCCTACATTTCCCATCCTGCTGCCTGATGATGGTGCAAGGTCCTGAGGCTTTGGGCCATCCTCTGCTACTTTTCTAGGCCACAAGCAGGGAGCTGGACTGGAAATGGAGCAGGGGACACAAACTGGTGCCCATCATATGGGATGTTGGCACTTGGAGGAGAATTAGCCAGCTGAGCCATCGCAGCCCAAACACAAGATTATGTAGCCGGTGTAAACAGCTCAGATTATAGATGTGGAAAAATGGCTTCCTGCCAATGCTGACCCTACAAAGCAACACTGAAGGCTCAAGTAATTAGGCTCTTCCTACCCAAGTCAGAGATCTGGACTGAGTTCCTGGCTCTCAGTTTTGGCTCTGGCCCAGTCCTGGCTGTTGCAGCCTTTTAAGATGTGAACTAGACGATGCAAACCCATTCTCAAAGTAAGTGAACTCGTCTTATAAACTGGAGTTGTGCTACTTTATCCTTTTATAGTCCCCTGGCCTGGCTTTTCTGGAATGCTTCTCTAGTCACAGCATTTCCAAAGAAATCATACATGCAAAGCTAACCAGGAAGCTACTTCACAGGTTCATGGAAAATGCTGTTGAGTATATTGTGGTGCAAAGCCTGCTGAGCCCACCCTTGCTTTCCACTGCAGCTACAAGTCTGCTGCATTATGTGACAATGTGCCTCTTGCTGCCTTCCCAAGCTCTGCTTCCTCCTTGCTGAATCAGGACCAGCAGAGCTTGATTGGCTCAGCAATGCTGTTAGCTGTTTCCTGTAATAAGTCTTTACAATCACCCAGACGCCCTTCACAAACCCATTTCTTCTTAACAACTTCCCTTTCCCTACTGTTCACATTGCTCCCTGATCATGTGAAACAAATGGCACCTACAGCAGGCTGAGCCTGCAGGTACTCCCTGAACTCTCACCAGGGCAGGCCCCACTGCCTGGGACGCACCAGGGACCAACCCACCACCAGGGCAGGCCCCAAAGCTTGGGGGCAACCAACGAGCATCCCCCCGCCAGGCGGGCAGCATCCCACTGCCAGGGCAGGCCCCACTGCCTGGGACGCACCAGGGACCAACCCACCACCAAGGCAGGCCCCAAAGCTTGGGGGCAACCAACAAGCATCCCCCTGCCAGGCGGGCAGCATCCCACTGCCAGGGCAGGCCCCACTGCCTGGGACACACCAGGGACCAACCCACCACCAGGGCAGGCCCCAAAGCTTGGGGGCAACCAACGAGCATCCCCCCACCAGGTGGGCAGCATCCCACTGCCAGGGCAGGCCTCACCTTTTGGGACGCATCAGGGACCAACCCACCACCAGGGCAGATCCCACCGCCTGGGGGCAACCAACGAGCATCCCCCCTGCCAAGCGGGCAGCATCCCACTGCCAGGGCAGGCCCCACCGCTTGGAAGGGACCAGGGACCATTCTACCCCTTCACCACTCTTAATGGACTGACTCCTTTTGCTCCTCTCCTCCTTGTTGTTAAGAGCGGACTTATAATTTACTCTCCTACTGCACACACTTCCCAACAGTTAACAAGCGAGAGATATCTGCTCAACAGAATATATGAACAAATAAGACCCTGCCAGTTTTTAAAGTTTGAAGTTGGCTGATGGCGCTGCAAATCAGATCCTGGAAAAGCTGTGGTAGCATAACCTTTATCTTTCCCTCCAAACCGCAGAAAGGAGCACAGCATTGGAAGAGCACGTCCTCAGGAGTCCAAGTTTCAGAGGTGGGGCTCAGCTCCCCACTGCCCCGCTCAGACTCCCTGGCGCTTTAACGTGGGGGTAACTGCACTAACTGCCCGACTCGGTGGCTTACAAGCCGAGGCATTTCACGAGCTTATCTCCCCCAGGGGAAGCTTGGACTGTTCTCCAATTCATTGGCAACTCTGGTTTGTAGAAGCCTTTGGGGACCCAGGTTTCTGCTCCGGCGTGGCCTGGTGCCTTTGGTAGGAATGGGCTAAGGCCACCGTGGTCTCGGCTGGCTTCCAGCTTGCAGGAAGTGCGTAAGGCGAATGGTGCCCTCCACCTGCCTTAGGTGAACACCTCTCTGATTTAGATCTATGGGTGACAATCAGCTGCTTGGCCACATGTAACAAACAGCAGGAGGGGCTGGGCAAGGCGGCCCCGCCCAGGCAACTGTACACCCAGCCAGCACCCTCCATTCCAGGACAGCGAATTCTGGTGGACAACGAAGAGGACAGTGACAAGGACCTTATGTCTGCTTTTCAGGAGTTGGGTAAAAAATTTAATTATCCCATTTTGAACAAATCCAAAACAAAAAAATCAAAATTACACAAATATGTTAATGAACTGCACCTGTTCTTTTTTTTTTTTTACATGGAAACAAGCCTGAGTGATCCTTCAGTCACCGGGAGCTTGCAGCAGCAGGCGTGCGTCTGTGGCCTTCCAGCAAGCACATGGGCCTGAGCGCAGCTGGCTCCTGTCAGCACAGTCCTGAACACACACAGTGAAAACAAACACAAGGAGTGGAGACATACCAAAACATAGTGATGCGTGAATCTCTCCCTCTGCTCAATTACCAGGAGCGGAGGGTAGATTCCGAGGCTTTAATCAAGGCAACGTTGGAGCGCTGCTCGTGGTCCATGGTCGCAGTGGGCAAACCTGGGCAGGGCACATGGCATGGTATCTCTATTCCAAAGGAAGAGCAAGAGGGTCCAACAGGTTCCTTGACACTACCTTGAAAAGCATATTGTGTGACATGCAAAACCCCAGTAAGATGCAACCACCCTGACTTGCTGGAGATACTAAGTGGCCTACAACCAAGGCCCCATCTGTATGTTGCAGACACAATTAAGTATTTACTACCAGCCAGAACAAAGGAAGAATTCAAATGAGAGAGTTGACCGAATGTATATTAGCAGTAAATTCTTAGTGGAAAATTCACTCTGCCAACTACAATGGCAAGCAGGTTTAAAATAAAGTCAGTGACCTTTTTAAAAAAGATTACAAAATTGAATTTATTGAGTTTCACACAAGATGCACTTATAAAATTAGTACTGAATGCCATTACGACAGAAGAAGTGAGCACAGCCCCACCTCCCCACAGCGTCAGCACAGGAAGGGGACCCCTCCCCAGGACAGCATGGCGGGCGGGACCGGGTTCCATGGCGACGGCATGCCTGCTCTGACCAGTGCAAGGCGTGCCAAAGCTTTCCCCAACCACTCCTGTTCACTGCTGGTGAAGAGGAGATGGCAAATAGAACAATAATTTAAGAATGGGGCTCCCCTGAAACACAAAAGCAAGGCAATTAAAATTTGCATGTTTTACTTAAGAATACTTTGCGGCTTCCTAAAGGCCTGCTGGGACAGTCTCCTCAACACCAATCTTCAGATCTCCAATGGACAAGCCCAGCATTAAAGCCGGCTCTCACGGGAGACAGACACCCCTGCAGTCGGCCTCCTGGGAAATGACTGGCATGAGAACCACCCTTCCAGACAGTTCTGAAATCAGAAGTCGTAAAATTTTTATACAAACAGAGGCAGGACTTTCAAGATAAAATGAGGTGGAAAATACCTCCAGAGGAGTAATGGAGCAGAAATGGAAATCCTCACCTTACCTTACACCAAACCAGAAAGCTGTCCCCAATACACATATACACACACACACAACACACACACGCACAACACACACACACACAGCTCTCCACGCCCAGACAGCGCCTCTGCGTCCACACAGGTGCTCCCTGACACAGGCATGCTAGCCCAGCGTGGGCAGGCCCAACAGCCACCACCATGCTCTGGCCACGGAGGGGTGGGCATGGGCATTCAGCACCCACACGCCTTTCATAAACCCAGGAGAGGCTGTCATCTGTCCAACCTGGGAGATTTACTTTACAACTTACTGAAAAAAATCCAGTTAAAATTGACAGCTTTCAATTTTGTACGGTGACAACTTTTAGCCTATCCAACAACAGATCTTGCAGGTGCAACCACTTATGAAGCAAGTGGTCTTAAAGCAAAACCAGTTCACTGTACCAAAAAGTTAACAAGGGTCTAAGCTCTCAGTACAAAAGTGCTTTTGTTGTCAGGAAATTTCTCTTTCATCCACTGTAGTTACATGACACACATTTCATATTTACCTTGAAAAGAATAAACTGAGAAAGTATGGAACATTTTCTGATGCATGACCTTCAATAAATTTTGCTTTAAATAAATGAACAATTTGAGGTTTTGTTTTTTTTGTTTTTGCTTTTGTTTTCTACAAAATGCTACTATTCATGATGTCTTATTTAAGGTAGCCATTTATTCTGATTAATTCAGATGTATCTTCAAGGATTACTCTGGTGGTGAGAACATTTATCTTATGTTTAATTATTATTTTTTTTTAATGCTTTGGCAGATGAAGTAGAGTTTGGAAACTGTTTGTGAAAATAGTGTGAAACTGCCAAGGTGACGTCACGGTAAAAGCTTCACAGTTTCCAGGTACATCCGTATACTGAAGAGGCCTCGAGGCAAAGCGTGACTCTCCGGAAGCCCGATTCACAAAGCTGCTTCGCCCTCTTGGGCCCGGAAGTGCAGCTGCATGGCCGGGTAGGGTTGGGTGGCCTGGGTCATCGAGCCTCCAGGGACCAGGCCAGGCTGCTGCTCCACGGTCCAGCCCATTAGCCGGACCACGTCACTGGAGGAAAGACACTAAGACCTGCTTGCCAGCAATAACTTAAAATTTTTAAATAAATAGTTAAGTGCCATTTCAGCCTCTGTCTGACCCGGTGGCTCAGCGTCCGCTGTCCCGGGCCCAGCAGCGTCAACACGGGGCCGGAACTCAGTCAATACGGTTGCCGCAAATCGTGAACCTGTCTATCTCTAGCAAGTCTTTCTTTGAGGACCTGTGCTTTAATTCTGAATTGTCCTGTGTTATGTCCTTCTCGTCACAGTCTGGGGTTGTCAGAAACTGATCCGAACTACTCGTCACTAGTAGTGGTATGACATCATCCTTCGGCCGAGCGGGCTGGCTGGGGACCGAGGCAGACAGGTTTTCTTCCGTGGAAAGGCCTGTGGGAAACAGATCCACGGACTCAGAAGGTGAGCGCACACCCAGGCAGCGTGAACTTACCAACAGAGACATGGCAGAGGCATCCACCATCCCGTCACACAGTTCCATCTTGAGAGCCAACCAGAATGGCAGCTGCCCTCACTGGCAGGGAACCTTCCAGACCACCCCATCGCTGCTAGCTCATCAAAATGGCACCACACTGGGCTCTCCTGTGCTACAGCCTCTTCTACATGACTGCATCCTAATACCTACTGCCAGGCTTGAAACACTGGCCTGGGCTCCTCTACCCAGGGCACCTGCTCAGCTTCCTCCAGAGCATCCCACCTCTCAGGCACAGGCACTTCAGCAGGACTTGACTCAGCACTACCTCTCCGGAAACACAAATCAGGGGTAAAGACCAACTCTTGGAAGTTTATTTCAGGATCCAAGAATCCTAGAATCCGCTCCTGGGAACAGCCAGGCTGAGGCCTAGACCTGTTAGTCTCAGAATCATAAATTCAATCTTGCATGAACAGCTCTGAGGTAAAAATGCTGCACTAAAACCTGCATTTACCTGTATGTACACTCTGAGGAGTGTTGCCTCGTGTATGCACCTACCAGAACCAGGCCAGGACAGAGGAAACGCACACAGCTGCCCAGCTCCTGGTGGCTCCTCCTTGTGCTGTCCTCACACTGTCCACTCCTCTTTCAGCCTGACCTCCACTTGCCCCTTGATGGTCTGTGCCCCATGGTCTCCTGGCCTCCAAGGCCTCCTCCAGACACTGTCCTAAAGGCACACTGACCATGTTTGTACCGCAGCACATGCAACCAAATGCTCATACTGTTAACAGTATTTACATGTTGTTCCTTACAATAAAAAGTATAGTTACCTTCGCGTGATTATAGACGCTTTTATGCTACTTTATTTTAACTCCCTGTGAAGCCCAAGACCAGGCCTGGCCCTCCCGTCAGACTGGACTCTGGCCAAGGTTCATACTGCGTTCTCCCAGCAAGCCCCGGGTTCACACACATCGAGCTGCCCAGAGCTCCTGCTGGCCCCTCCCTGAAGGGCATCACTACCATCTGGCACTCAGTTTCCACACACATTTAAAAACAAGCCAAGCTAGAAGTAATATGGACAAACACAGACAGGAACAAGGACCTGTCCTCCTGTGACAAAAATTCAGTCATCCAGTTCTTCCAGATTCGATGCCAGAAACTTCAGAATCGTCCACAGCTCCTCTATTCTCACACTACACAACACGCGCATCAGTAACTCCTTCAGCCCCACCGTCTAGTTCCACAACTCCCTGCCCATCATTGCTCTCCTGCCCTGAGCCAGTCAGCCTTGTCCCTGGCCCTTGCTTTCCAGAGCCTATTTCCCACAAAGCCAGTGAAGGATCCTTCTAGAATGACAGCTGTGTCCACAAGTGGTTAGTTGAAGTCCGACAAAGGCCCAAATCCTCAGGTCAGCTGCAGTGCTGGTACACAGCAGGCCCTGGTGCACAGCAAGCCCTGGGGCCCAAGGATCCCTTGGCCAGCCCCTTACCCTGGGACTGGGTCAATGCAGCCAGTCGGGCTTTGGTGCAGCCATGGTTATTAGTGCCATTGAACCAGTCAAACAGCTTCCTGCTTGACAGTTCTGCTTGGAAGTCCTGAGAGATCGGCCTCCGGGGAAGGCCGCTCACCTCACACCCTCAGGCCCTTTGCCGACATCTTTTTACGTGACAGTACCCCAAGCTGGGGGATGCGCTTCACCCCCTCTCTCTGCCAGTGGTACGTGCTCACAGTCACTGACTCAGGGTCTGCATTTTTCTCTTCTGCTTCCCAGAGCAGCCATCCTGCCTTGACCCTCTGCTGGACTCCTGGCTTGTCCTGTGACAAGCGTTTAGCATCTGCTGACCAAAGACTGAAGACTTACCTGGGGAAGATCTGCGTTTGCTCTGAGCTTTGCTGGCTGACTGGCTGGGGGTGCTGGCTGGTGGGCGGTTAAACAGTTTCTCTTCCATTCTGGCCTCCTTGACATACTGGCATGCCTTCCCTAAGAGCACGATGCTGTTCAGGATTTTCAGGGATACCAACCTTAATGAAGAAACAGAACACATAAGCAAGGAAGATTCACTTGGGCCACTGGCGGCCACTAACTGCTGTGCAGGGGGTGGTGAGGCAAGGGGCTGGGGCTGGGCCCAAGTCAGAGGGTCTGGACTGGAGGGCCATGAAATGTGCCGTGAAGCCCAAGCTTTCCAAGATGTCTGGACCATAAGACAAAGTTTTTGCTTACTTCCTCATTTCTCACTACAAAAGATTAGAAATTTTTCCTACCATTCTTAACATTTATTTTTGTTGCAAAACAAAGACACTCAATATATATAGATGAATACAAGTAACATAAAATAGCATGTAACTCCACTCCCCAGTGAAGGTCACTGCGGCACTTGGCATCGTCTTCTTATCTCTGAGTCTTCTGCATCTACTCTCCCAGTTAAAGTCCCCAAGGGATATTATTAAGACTTCTCATGCTACGGGCCATTAGCTAACAAACCCCAAAGAAGTTCCTGTTACTAGACAGAATTTACAGTATTTTGTTTCAATTAAAGTTTTTGATTAAGAAAACATTAAATCTGCATTTCTCAGATGCCAGTAATTACAAGAAGTAGAATTTCTGGGTCAAAAGATGAATACCCATTTCGGCATTTCACACAGACTTGGCAAAGGTCTGGAACACAAGACACCCGGGCATCCTCTAACCTGGGAAAGATCAAGGGCTTAGGTCAGAGAGAGAGGTGAGGTGGCGTGTTCAAGGGTCCAGGACACAGAGCCAGGCAGGGGACAAGGGGTGAGGTGGGCCATGTTTAATGGCCAAGGTCACAGAGCCAGGCAGGGGACGAGGGGTGAGGTGGGACATGGCTCTGTGTCTGAGGGGAGACCCTGACAGGAATACTAGATGACAGTGAGGGTGAAGAGAGGTGGCGTAGACCAAGCAGGAAGCAAACCAGCCTTCTCACTGCAGGACTAAGGCGGCCAACATCCAGTACCCACTCAGACCCGCCGCTGCCAGGTGCTTAACTCTCAGGCTTTCTTCTCCTCTGAGCCCAACTCATCCTCTGCGCTTACTCCTCGACACTGACTAGCGATGCCTAATCGTAATTCTGCACTCACAAAACTGACATCCCAGGTCCAGATTTCATCTCCATTTTCCCAAATCTGCCCTTCTCTTAATAGACTCCCATCACAACTGATGGCCACTCCATCACTCCAACTGTTTGGGGTCTCAAACTTGATTTCTTAGCCCTCATGCCCTATATTGTCGCTGCTGCCCAGCAGCGGTGACACTAAAAAACGACGAGGCACGCGCTTGAGGGTCTGGAAAAAGCCGGAACCGGACCCCTCACTGCCAAAAGTGGCTGCATTTCTCTGCTGCTCCTGTCCCCATTGGTCTAAGCTTTCCTCTGTCGCTTCTCTAGCCCTAATTTCTGCCACCCTTTTTCCCATATTTCTTCTTCCTGTACTTTCCCTGTCTCCTTTCTGCCACCTTTCTTCCCACCCCCAAGTCTTTCTTGTCTATCTGTCTGTCCTAGTCATCGTCTTGTCTGTCCGTCCTAGTTGTCTTCTGCCTTGCTTTTACTGCCTACTTTTATATCGTTCTCCACCTACTTTTATATCACTTCTCCCCATGGGTCCACTTGGTGCCATCTGATAGGCCAGTAGCAATGACATAATCACAGCGGGGACATTAGCCTATCCCTGTGACTTCCTGTTTACCTGCTGGCGAAACCAACTCTGCCTCCTGGCCCTGGGCCAGCCGCCATCTTGCGGTGGCCCCTTTCAATCCCGGAGCAGCTTAGCACCCCACTCTCCACACTATAGCCAATCAATTCAAGAGTAACACACACCCAGGCATCAAACTAGGCGGGCACGTGTGCCTCTGGGGTCAGGAAAGCTTCCTCATTGGACTGCCACTTTTGCCACCTGCTGTCCGTTTCCATATGAAAGAGAGCCTGGCCCTTGCCCCCTTAGCATGCCCCCACCATGTTATCTGAGGACTGCTGGTGGTGGCTGCTCCTTGGGGCAGTCCCTTTAGGCATTGCTTCTGTCCACGGCACTCCCTCACATCACTGGGATTTTCTTCATACTACTCAACACCACCGGTCCCCTGAAAACCAGCTGTCTGGATTTCACTGTCGCCCACACAGGGACTTGTCTGCTCTCCCTGAGGAGTATGGAATGGACCTGGCAGGATGGAGGCCAGCGACTCTCATCACAGTGGGACAGGGCAAGTGTAGAAGCTACACACACATTTCACATTGGGAGATCCAGGGGACTCCGATCTGTTCTGTGGAAGGCAGGTGTCTGGGTTTCGAGGAATGAAGACTTTGTAGGAGAGGACAATCTGAGCGTGACCTTGACATAGAATAATGGAGTCGAACATGGACATTCATGGGGAGTTTTGTGTCGGGAGGACTACCTGGGTGGACGGGTATGCAGAGTGGGACAAGGGATGCAGAGTGTAAACTCTAAGTAACTCAGATGAACTCAGATGAAGCACAGCCCGTTTGGTGAATCACACACAAGCAATTATAACCACAGAAAGACTTCGGGTGCGATATATCTGCCTGCTGATTCATGCCAAAAGCAAAACATTATGATAAAAAGCTTATCATCAATGGAACAAGTAAGGCAGTATCACTTGGTAAGTGTGGTTCTGTGCTAGCACTTCAAGGGGTGGAATGGAAATGTGTACCATCAAAGGAGAAGCTCATGTTTTTAACGTCCAAAACCTGACTGGGCTCAGCTTACTCCAGTAAAGCATTTGTGTGTTCACTCAAATGGAAAACAGGAAGTGATCTGTGATGTGCTGGAACTCCATCTTGCTGTGGCACTGCCGAAACAAGCTGTCATGCCTGAGCCCAGCTCTGCAGGGTGGGGGACCAAGGAAGCACTGGCTCCTCAGGGCACACAAGAGGCTGCTCCTCAGCTGCTGGGGCAGACGCTTCCTGGGCACCTGCCACGTGGCAGGACATGCGCTGGGCTCGAGCAGAAGCACATCCAACCGACACTGCAGTACTGCGGGTGACTGGGGAGCAGACCTGGTGCCCTGGTGACTGCTGACCTCAGGACCGTGACAGCTCGTCTCGTTCCCACGCCTGCTCTAGAGAAAGCCTGGCTCCTCTGGCCAACTCTCCTTGCCCTGTCCACCAGTAAAGTGATAACTGCAGGCTGCACTCCTTCACCATCCATCCTTGTCTTGACAAAACCCACAATGGCAAACGCTCAGCTCCCATGGTTACTTGGTGGCCACCACCGAGCCGTGCATCAGGCTGTTTCAGCTGCATGTTTACTGCTGTCTCCCCAGAGCAGAGCGCAAGCTGCATCAGCCAACAGCTCTGCACGTGGGCTCAGCCTGTCACTGGCAGGGAAGCTACACTGCTGTGCTGCCTGTGTGTCGGCCCAACAGCTTAGAGTACAGAAAGGAGATTCAACGTGGCAAACAAGTGAGAAGATTAAAGATGATTTTAGTATTGGAAAAAAAAATGTAATGGCAGGCATTGCCTCATAAAAGAAAACATGACTAGTGTACACTCATAAAATCTTTAAGTAAGAGACTATAATGAAAACTAAAGTATGACTACTGCTACCAAAAAGCAGTGTATGGAGCTGAGACACGATTTCTCAGTAGCCCACAGCAGGAAGGGAGCTCCCAGCACAGAGCGGACAGAGTATGACCTGGGTGTTACAAGACTCCCTTCCACTGCACGCTTACACTTTACCAGACAACCCAAAACATATTCAGAAATGGTTCATCTTACCCAAAGTAGAAGAGTACGACGCAGGCGTAAGACAGGATTCCTTGCACTCTGATTGAGCTTGTTACAACTCTGATGAGCTGGCCAGGAACAAACCAAAAGACACACAGACAAAGCACATGACAGCAGTTGTTAGCTAATGTTCTAAATACATCTCCAAGGCAACGGCAATACTTCAGGTATCCACCGACGGCCTCTGCTTAAATCTAAGACAGCGGTTTTAGAATCACCGATTCCTGTTAAAATCTGCCCATTTGTACTATTTGCAAGGTAGGTCTAGGTTTGTTTAGGCAGATTCATCAAGTCTATGGTTACTTCCACAGCCTCAGATACATCGACCTGAGAGATGTAAGCCAGAGGCTTTTAGAACGAAAAACTAATCTGGAATATACACGTGAATGACTCTTGCTCCACATGCTCCCAGCAGAACTAGGACCACTCAGCCATCTTCCTTATTCCTGCTTTCTCCTACCCTTCGTTCTACTTTTTAAAGAGCCCCAATGCCCTGCAGAGAGGGAAAGAGAAAAGGAACTTCAAGAGGCATTTACTATTAGAAGAAACTGAAGAATATTACTGAAAAATTATTTATTTAAAGGTAAGAAAATCCCTCTCACTTGTACACAGTTGTGGCTAATGAGCTTTTTTCTCATTTGTCATTTGTCTCCAAGAACTGCAGGAATGACTGGAGTCCCCTTGTAAGCCTAATAAGCAGGCCAGGTAGATCAGCTGGGGAGCATGCCCACCACAGGTGCAGTGGCACTCCCAGACCGAGGGCTAGGCGGCAGCTATGAGGGCGGGGAAGGGATAGGACTTAGGCTTGGCTAGTAACACCAAGTCATAAGATAGGAGTCTATTAGGACTCTTAAATACTGTAAAAGATAACTTTAAAAAGACATTTTGAAAAATGGGTTTTAATAGAGAAACAACTGGGAGGAGGCAAGCTGGTCTGATATAGAGTGGTATGGCTGGTAACTTGTTTATATTTTTCTCAGCTGACTTGCCCAGGCCTGTGGGAGTACTTTCCAGGTGACTGCAGCATTTGCTCTAACGTAGGACTAGGCAATAAAGAAGAAACCTGTCAAACACAGATGCAGCCAGCAAATCTGAATGAACATGATTACACCTTGATGAAGACAGAAACCCTTCCCAAAGCTGTTCGATTCAGAGTGAGTGGCTGGCGCTGCGGTGCAGCACGTAAAGCCGCCGCCTGTGACTCTGGCATCCTGTGTGGGTGTCAGTCTGAGTTACGGTCTCTCCACTTACGCTCCATCTCTCTGCTGAAGCACCTGGGAAAGCAGTGAAGATGGCCCAGTCAGCTCCTGGCTCTGGTCTGGCCCAGCCCTAGCCACTGCAGCCACCTGGGGAGTGAATCAGCAGATAAAAGGTATCTCTCTCTCTCTCTCTCTCTTTTTCCAACTCTCCCCACTATCCCTCTCTCTAACAGAACCTTTCAAATAAATAAAAATTTCAAAGTTTTTTTTTTCTCTCAAAGTTGTAACTTTTTGGGAGGGAGTGACTTATATTTCAGTGTGTGTGCATGTTTAAAGATGTATTTGTTTATGAAAGGCAGAGATCTGCCATCTAGCAGCTCACTCCCCAAAGGGCCGCTGCAGCCAGGAGGCCAGGCCAGAGCCGGGATTCCATCGTGCTCTCCCAGGGGCTGGAAGGAAGCGAGCACCTGTGCCTTCCTGCTCCCACCAGGTACGTCAGCAGGAGCTGGGCCTGAAGTGGAGCAGTTGGGACTGACCACGCTGCAGTCAGGGCTGTGGCATTACAAGTGGTGGATTAAAGCACTGCACAAAAACACTGGCCTCAAATGTTATTTTTATTTTTTAAAAATACGTATGTTATAAAGATAATAGAATTTTTATTGTAAAAACTCTGGAAACATTTCTGAAAAGCTGTACTTACAATGGATACACTATGTTTCCATTTAGGCAACCATAATTTACTTAACGTATTTCATTTCCCTAAAGTTCTGCAACTAGAGCTGCCACTGCAATGTTTATTCTTGCCCATAAATCATTGTTGGCTTCTGTAACTGTTTCCTTAGAACTGGAATTACTGCATTACAGCATCACACTACTTGCTGGAAATGCCAGCAGTGTGTGTGACAGTGGCTATGCCAACCCCACCACCAGTTATGACATAAAAAATAAAGCTATTTACCAAATGAATAAGCCAGAAAGGGATACTCATTAACAGGACAGTTACTTTTTCTAAAACAGTGCCTTCAGGTCACGTATCTATCGGATGTTTTGAACTTCAAAAGAATGATACCACAATTAGAAAACAGAAGCTTCTCTCAAATTATTTGTGTATCAAGTCCTCTTGTAACAAATTTGCTGACAATCCATTTGCCAAAATTCTATAAATACGACTATCTCATATTACAGGAAGAAAGAAGGGACTTACTAGGACAGCCAGGGGGAGAGGAATGAAGCCCATTCTGCGTGCCACCGAGTCGCTGTAGTCCGTGTATGCCTGCAGAGAGAGCGGGCAGTGAGTGCCTGCGCCTGCTGCCCACACAGCACCACACCTGTGCCCGAGGTACACAACATGGCGGCCAGGACGCAGTCTGGCGATACAATGTGGAAATCTTTTCATGAGAACTTTATACACAAGGTTGTATGATTTCTAACTGTAAAAAATCATTCACTATTTAATGTATTATTAGTAGTTTGTAAACATTTAGTCTTGAGAACACAGGTACAGAGGAAGTCTACGCAGTTTTCCACTCTAGCTCAAGCCATCATTAGGTGCGGATCTCAGATGATGCCATTATAAAATGCTCACATTTTTCTGTCGGCTGCTGACCAGGTCAAAAGCAAGGCTGGCTCTATATTCACTGTAGACCTAAAGACAAATAACAAGGAAACAGAGTAACGTAGTGCAAATGGAGAGCGTGAATTGCCGTTAATTCCGCAGGTGGCTAACGACTATCGGTTAAACACTACCAGCAGTGAGTGCTGCTGGTCAGCGACACCCGGTGTGTTTCCTGTTTTCCCGCGTAAGGGGGAAACGTGGCTGCAGTTCTCTGGATGGCTTGGAAAGGCAGATCCACAAAGAGAAGGAAGACAGAGAGAAAGACCCTTCATCTGCTAGCTCACTTCCCAAGTGGCCACAATAGCTAGAGTTGAGTTGATCTGAAGCCAGGAGCCAGGAGCCAGGAGCCTCTTCTGAGTCTCCCACATGAGTGCATGCCCCGCACATGGGTGCATGGCCCCACGGCCTTGGGCCACCCTCTACTGCCTTTTCAGGCCATAAGCAGGGAGCTGAGTGGGAAGTGGAGCAGCCAGCATAGGAACTGGCACCCACATGGATCCCAGCAGCCATAAAACAAGGATTCTAGGCTATCCTGCTGGGCCCGAGGAATGGCTATTTTATACTTTTTTCAAAGCATATTTGAGAAGTTCACAAACAATAAAATTTAGAGACAACGTGCACCTCTTAGAAATTTTCTGAAGTACTCTTATGTACAATTTTGATATTATAAAGCAAAGGGACAGTTTAAAAATTATTATTTTACACTTAGCCATCTGATAGACACGGATTCTAACAAACAAACTAAGCTAGGGGACATAGCGACAAGGGCACTTAAAAATCTCCTTAAAACCACTGAACACCTGATTCCAGCCTAATTATCACACCAGATGGTGTAAAATGATCCCTAGAAAGGAAACCACTTTGTATGGAGGAAGTTGAAAGAGAAAATGGTAAAATATCTGTTAATGTTTTACAAAAGTATGTAAAATTGTATTTAAGTCCATGGAAGTATCGAGAAACCCATTATTAATTCATCAAACTATTGCAGTTAGAACTGCATTCAACTTTAAATCTTTGCTGCCTTTTGGGATAAGCTGTCAAGTGTCAGAGTAACCCTATTTAATAAAGTTCCAGTGCAGTGAGACAGCAGACTGAACCTGCAGTCATTTGGGGAGGGAGCCGTCAGGAACGCCCCGGGAGACCCCCTTCTACAGGACCTTGAGCAGCTGCATCCTGACGCAGCCATCTTCAGCTGAAAATACCTTGAGTTCACAATGCGTTTCCTACCCCAATCATAAAGCATCCTGGCTCAGCAACACAGTGCAGGGCAGGGCGTGCCGTCCCCATGACGGTGGGGCTGACCACGCGGCAGACGCTGTCAGCACGAGGGGACTGCACTGCCCAGGAATACACAGAGGTCCAGCGCAGAAGCGTGGCATTTACCGACTGTGCACTGCCCTTCGACTATAGGAAAACCAAAGCTGATTCATCTGTGTATCCAATGAGTCTATAGCTACAGACACAGTGTCTGGAAATTCTATGGAATCTCTGGTTACTAAGTTTTAAGACTTTCACCAGATAATTATATCACTTTTCTAAAACATAAAGAAGTTATAATCACAGAAGATGAATGCTTACATACAAAATATTTTAAACAGCCAGAAAGTAAGTACTGATGCTTTAACTTTCAAATATCATCTAGAAACAATATAATCCAAAGCACGTGAGCTAAACAATGGTAATCTTAACAATTTACAATAATTTTTGAGTTACTGATACTCTTAGCTGAACTACCAACCAACCTATCCTTTCATTTTGAAGCACAGAACTAAGGCTTTTTAACTCCAATAGGCATTTCCAGGGGTATAAAAATTTTCAGATACCTAAAATTACAATTCTAACTTTTAAACATAGTAATCTTGCATTATCTTTACAAATGCAGTAAACCCAAACTTACTATTTTATAACTTTAAAAACCTTAATAGGTAATTCTAAGAATTAAACTGCTTATCAATATACATACGTCTGCAGTAATGTCATTGAATTTGGTGATAAAGGCATGTTTCACAATATCCACAGCGATTTCTGACGCAACCACCATACAAACATCTGGAAATAGCACCCAGAGATGATCTGCAAAGAGTGGAGAACAGGGAGTCAGTGAAAGCTCTCAATGGCAGAATCTGTCATCACAGAATCTCCACGGAGCAAAACTTCAGTAATAAACAATGACAGAGTTGGAATTAGCAATCAATGAACGACACTTTAGTTTTGTTTTTTGAGTCATTCAAACTGAAGGATAACAAATTCCACAAGCATCTTTCAGGGCTTTCACAATGTCAAGGGCCAGAGCCCGGGCACAGGGCTCCAGCTTGGGGTGCTGCCCGAGGTGCCAGGATCATTAGCAGTAGTCACTAATACAAGTTGTTCAGTACTCCAGGCATGCGTATTGGCCTTATTTCTGTAGAGGAGGAAACTGATGCAAGAACAGGTGGCAGTGAGTGGCAGGATTACTACCGAAAGGGGGCCTGATTGCCAGAACCTCAACCATACGCGAGGTTTTGGAATTTGGTTTTAAAATTAGAAAATTTTTAAAAACTTCAGAAAGCTAAAATGCTGATGTTTTGCCACATGCTCCAAGGGAGTAGTGTTACAAAGACTGCAGATACTATGTTGGAAGTCACAGCAGAGATGGGAAAATGACTTCAAACAGCGAGATGTCAGGAGGCTTAGGGTTGGTTGCAATCGGGCCTAACAACCCTGTTTTGGGACTGCTGAGCTCCAAGGGAACCCATCACAAATGCCAACTTTGCCCTGTGTGAACACCCTGCTAGCCAACTCAGTTACAAAGAAAGGTATATCCTATGCATCAGTGGAATTCAGGCATGCAAAGAATCCAGGTGTGTGTGTGTGTGTGTGTGTGTAGGCACTTTTCTGCCCAAGGGTCTTTGTACCTATTCAGAAGGAAAGTGAAGGCAGCATACACAATGACAAGACTTGATCTCATAGTTTCTACAAGACACTAACTTCTGCAAATTCAGTTCCAAGATCATGTATCTCACTTATTTTTCCTATGTACTTGAAAACAAGCTTTACAAACAAAAAACAAAAACAAAAACCCAGCAAGTTATTAACATCAATAACATGTTTGATGTTGGGAGTATTAAAATGCAGAACAGCCGCACGCGCTGTGCAGAGGAGTAAAGCCATTGCCTGGGACAGCTGCACCCCTATCTGAACGCCTGCGCTCCCCTCGGCTTTGACAGCTGCACCCCTATCTGAACACCTGTGCTCCTCTTCGGCTTTGCTTCCAACCCAGCCTCCTGTGATGATGCACACGAGTTGGTTAGCAGGTGCTCACTCAGGTACTTGGCTTCCTGCCACCTGTGTGGGAGATGTGGATGGAGTTTTAAGGTCCTGGCCTGCCTTGCTCTCTGCCTTTCAAATGAAGAAAAATGAGCAAACAAAAGTTACTTCAAAATGAAAAACATATAATTATCTTTAATTGTAAGTAAACCAGGCATTTAAAAAGCCCCTCTAAATTATTTAACATGTCTGTGTAGTTGATCACATCCCACCTAGTTGATGGCAGCACTGTAAACATCTATTTCTCCAATTAATTAACCCTGCGTCCTACATGGAGCTGAGTGCTTTCCACAGCTGCCACACAGCACAGCCTTGTTCCTGGCACACAGTGCAGGCCCACTGAATGCCCACCGACCGGGTGATGACAAGTCACGGAGCCTTGGTGACTTCATCAGGCCAGATTCAGAGAGGCACGTCTGAAACACACTCTAATGCCTCACACTGTATTTCTTTATCTTTCGTCAAGTACCACCAAATAGTGAATGGGCAAGAGATCCATGTCAGCAAAGAGCACAGGTCACGTGACTGCACACAGGCAGGTGCAGCACACTGCTCTCTGAAACCCTCGGAGGGCTGGGCCACAGTGCGCAGCAGGGAACACACACCACCGTGCAGGCAGCACCAGTGAGCTGCCAGCCTGCGGGGAATGACGGCATCTCCCATCCCCAGTGGAAGCCAGGGGACTGCAGAAGGGTCCTGGGAAGTGCACTTAAAACCTTATTTCAGTGCAGAGGAATGTGAAATCTATGCATCCAAGGTGCTCAGAAAAGCTCATGGATGTTGGCTCAATCCATCTACTGCTTCAAGTACTGCTGATGCCAAACAGTGGAACATTCAAGGTCCCTCTGCAATATTCATCCTATTCCATATGAAATGACAACTTAGCTTTAACAGTACAATTACAAGATACAGTAGTTGTTAAGGTTTAGTTACCTGGATTCCAAGAAAACTGCTCCATGTTTCTTAAACACACTATTAGCAAAAGTACATAATTTGTGAATCGTTCCTTAATATCTGAAAAAAAAATCCATATGTAAGTACCACAGTGCATATATGTAATATAGTAACAATGCATATATACTGGCTTAGTCAGAGCAGGATGAAATTATCTATAGGTGTGAATAAACATCTTTGAAATAAATACAGATGTGCCTTTGCATCCTGCCAATGTGTGATTGGTGGCAGGTCGCCCAGAAGAGCAAACTGCAGTGCTCAGGTGCCTTCCACTAAAGGACACGGTGTTTGCTGATAACCTGCGCACACCTACTGTGCGTCCTGGATCATCTCCACACATCACCCCAAACCAAGGGAGCGCTAGTTAAACAACTGTTAGACCATCTGCTAAGCAAGGTCACTCTGATGTCCCGACTTCCACGTGAACTTGCTGGGAGGCACTGACCCTCACACTGCATCCCTGCAGACTCCTCTTCGTGGCACAGCTGCTGCAGGAGGCACAGGAAGCAAGGTGCTGCCATTTGCACTCAAAGGAGGGCTCTTCCTTCACCCTATCATCTAAGTGCCAGAAGCCATGGGAAGACTGCCTAGCAGAATGTTTTGCCCTTGAGAAAAAATTTAAAAACAACCTGAATTTAATATCATAAAACCTAAAGTGTACAATGCAAATCACCTTGCAATAGAACATGAACTATTTCTACCTACAGCAACAACAAAACTCCACAATAACTGCCAATTACTAATTTATGCCAAAATAAAATCTTAAACGTCTTGTGACCTAACAATACCTAATCAGCATGCAGTTTCTGCTTTCTTTTTCAAGATTTATTTCTTTATATGATAGGCAGAGTAATGGAGAATGGGAGAGGGAAGAGAGAGAGAGAGGACGGATCAATCTTCCATCTGCTGGCTCACTGCATAAATGCCTACAACGGCTGAGTCTGGACAGGCCAAAGCCAGGAGCCAGGAACTCCACCCCAGCTCTCACTTGCTTGCAGGGGCCTAAGCACACAGCCTGTCTTCCATTGCCTTCCCAGGATCCTCAGAGGTGAGCTAGCTCAGAAGCAGAACAGGAGCAGTGGAGACTTAAACTGGCACTGAACTGTCGTTCTCACAGTGGTAGCTTAACGCACTGGAGCACAACGGCAGTGCCAGAGTATTCTAACACTTCAAATAGCACATCCCTCATCTTTCTAACTTGGGGGATCTGTATACAAAGGGGAAAAAGGACATGAACTAGGTTCACCTTGTTGGTGATAGGCTCACTACCACTCACAATCACCTGGTTCTTGTTGCACACAAACAGAAAACCCTTGACATGTAAGTTCTGCATGTGTAGTTTAAAGCTTTACAAACAGCATCCAACTTACACTAAATACTAATAGAAGGCAACAGCATCAAAGTGCCTTCTCCAACACGTGAATTCTAATAGTCGAATCTTCAAATGTTCTCTGGTTAGCTAATAAAATTGCTATAAATTACATAATTTAGCCTCTTTTTCCCCCTTCTCCTATTTTGAATTCACACGCTTGGCAGCAGCCCTCTGAAAGGAAAGGAAGGGAAGGTTAACACAGAGGGGTCAGCTGCACTGCCTCGCAGGGCTTTGGAATTGAAGGTGCAACATGGACTCACAGGACAGCCCAGACTTTACTGTTAAAACTTCCTCATTTATTCTTGATCCTCGGCTAGGTTACAAATCTCCTACAGCTATAAAAACATGTTTGTTTTAACCACTCCCAAATGTCATCTTTTTTGTTTATCACAAACTTGCTAAGTGAACTGCATTCATCTCCTGGACTCATTCAGATGAGTTTTAACGTATAATCTGTGTCACCAGACTCCTCAATAAAATGTGGAAGATCCTCACCTAGCAAGCTCTGCGCATGCTCTCACCTCGGTGCCATACCCAGTAGGCAACTGCTCTTCCGCCAACGTAAATGAAGTCTGCTCACCACAATCGTTTCTTTCGGCTCTTTTTGCTCAACACATTGCTTCTGAGATCTCATGTCTCAATCTATCAGTAATGTGCTCACGAGGGGCCTTTCATGCGTGCACTTCTAAGCCTTTCTGCAGCAAAATAAGCTTACCTTTTGATTCCATTTTCTAGCATCTCTTTGAAGTACAACTATACATTCTCAGGCCTGAACCAAAGGGTAGGTGAGCTTTTAATCAAATAAATAAGCATCTGTCAGTTGGGGCAGTACTGACAGCCAGCACTCACTGTGCCCAGCATGTGTCATGTCCTCACCAATGCCCTGGCACTGCCCGTGCCAGAAGCAGCCCTCCAGTAGGTGTGCAGTGGCCTCTTGCACATTTCCCCTAGTGTCACTGAACACCTTTTTGGGAAACTTATTGAGCATTGATCCTTTTTAAAATAACTGTTCAAGCCCCTGTCTTTAAAATTGGATTGTCCTTCCATCATCGATGCAGGGAACTGCTTACATATAAGAGAATCTTACCGGATGAACACATCAAATCTTTAGGTGATGTGACTAATCTGTTCAGTTTCTTTTTTAAATGAACAGTTATTGATTCCAAAGAAATATAATTTCTATGGTGTTTTATATAGTACCCAAAAATGTTTGCATGTACATTGTGAATATATCTTCCTATATTTGACATTTTATCATCCAAGTATTTATGTTTAGAGCTTAAAATTATTATCTTGGGTGGGGAGGTAGAAAGCCGAAGTTCTTTAAAATATTCAGATATTCCAGCACTGTTGAAAAAATAATGTCCTCACTAATATATGAATGTTTGTGAAAATACAACTGCTTTTGATAAACATGTTACATAAGTAATTATTTAAAAACCTCCATTTTAATTTCTGATGTGGTAAACCAAGATAGACATAACTCAATAAACAATTGTTTTGGGATCATGGTAACTTCTAAGAGTATAGAAGGGTCCCCAGACAGGTAGGACAGGCAGGACAAGTGCTGTCAGAGACGGCCATGTGTGCTCTGCCCTGAGCTCACCCCGACTGCCTGCCCAGGACCCCGTGCTGCTCCCCTTGCCCCAGGACTTCACCAAGCCAGGTCCTGCGACATGTCCTGTCGTCTTACATCTGCTGGTGGAAAAGGCAGATCATGTCTCTACCTTCTTCGGGAAACAGGATTCCCTGAAGGGGCTAAAGGACCCTTCCTGAGGGCTCTTGGATCCCACTTTGAGATCCACTCTGCTGTACTGCTGTGAGATGAAGCCTACATGGGTAAATCCTGCAAATTCATATTTAGGACTTCTTGCAGGTACAACAGACATTCCATGCCTTACATCCTGGAAAACTGTGTGTGTTCCCCAAGGGCTCTGGCATAAAAGTTTTGATCCTCATGGTGTAAGTCCATGGATTAATGATGGACCTGTTGGGGGGGATCAGAGGCTGCTGGGGGCGTGCTAGGGATGGCAGCTTTGTTCCTCCTGGGCTGGAGGAGTCTGCTCCTCCTGGCTGCTAAGGGCGTCTCCCTCTGCACACACCCAACATTCCCAACCCTCATCAGCCATCATTGTAAGGCTCTGCTAGACCTTCAACTGTGAACCCCAAACTATAAGCCCAAACTCCTTCCTTTCTAAACAGCCCCCCTTGGAGATCTGTTTTGCAATAACAAAAAGCTGACTAGCTCAGAAGGTTTATAGCCATATTTTTCCTCTTAGTAGCTATTTGAGTGATTGCAAGGCAAATAAATTTCTGTGTTTTAGATGATGCTTGTATATAAAATAAAATAGTATATTATGCTTCAGAGAAATTTCTGGATCAGCAAAAAGCTTTTGAAAATATGGTCTAGCAAGACACATTAATTTTTTAAGACACATCTAAGTTTTTTTTTATTATCTTAAACATATTTTTAAATATCTTAACACAAGGTTAACAAGGAAACCTCAGGAAGATGTTGTTGGTATTTAGAGAAAGCACAGCTAAACTCAAGAGAAATTAGCAAACAGGATTTATAAATTAACATTTCCAAATGAACTGCAAAATACTGCACAGAGCCGCAAGCAGGACCTAACGTTACATACCACTATTTGACATCTGGAAGAGGTTGTTCTTTTCAAACTTCTTGAAAACACTTCCTTTAATTTCAACAAACTGGAAGGGTAAAGAGAAATACTATCTTTATCACAATATCAGTTTTTTAAAAAACATTTCTTTGTTTATTTGAAGGGCTATATTGAGATTGAGAGAGAGAGAGAGAGACCACGTGAGACAGTGAACTCTATCTCATGATTTTCCAACCACTGGTTCACTTCAAATGACTGCAATGGCTTGGGCTGGCCCAGGCCAGAGCCATGAACCTGCAATTCTGCCCAGGTCTCTGTATGGGTGGCAAGGGCCCAAGCACTTGGGCCATTTTCCGTTGCTTTCCCAGACACACTGGCAGGGAGCTATATTGGAAGTGGAGCAGCTGGGACTCAAACTGGTATTCTGCTATGGGAAGCCTGCACTGCAGGTGGCAGCCTGGTTTGCTGTGCCAAAACACCAGCCCCCTTATATTGTCAAAATGGATTTCTTACATACAAATCTTCCTGGATAACTAGTAATACACAGAACAAAGAACTGCGCCTAGTCCAGAATATTGCTGCTGCAACACCTGAATAAGCTCAAAAATATCAAGTGAGGTCTCCCACTTACATTATTAGACATCATGATAGTAAGCAAGGACTTGTTGTGTGAATTAAAGGCGACATTCAGAGTGGTTGCTTGAACCATGATGAGAATCGCATGCAAAACTAACAGTATGTCAAGGAGAAAGTTTATTTTACATTGTTTTTAACAGAAAAATCCAAGAATTCTGAAAGCTTAAAAGAGCACACCTTCTAAACAAGTATTAGTATTTTATTCTCTGCACAATTTCCCTCTGTTAACTGATCAGGCTGACAAGCTGAAACAAACCAAAGCAGAAATGAGCCTCTCTGCGTGCGTGTCCGTATTTTCTGCATCTCTGGCACTCGCGCTTGGGAAACAGGCTCCTCACAAAAGGTTATCAATGCATGGGAAAAGGCACATTAACACTGAAAGAAGAGGCTTAGGAGCACTCGGTCTAAATCATGATCATTTGCATTTCAAGAATGAAACGAACACAAAGGGAAAGTCTGCAGTTGTTTGCTTTGTTTTTCAGGAGATATGGAATGCTGATAGGATCTCTCTGATAATTAAGGTTTTTCATGAGTTATACAGAATTATATGCAGAGCACATATGAAATAGTTAATTTATATTTTAGAATGACAACTATTTCACTCCACATAAAGTGGAGCAAGTTTACTCTCTGCCTTAACTTCCCAGATACTAAGCCAAATGGTTTCAAGTCTCAAAGGCAGTATAAAAAAAAAACAAAACAAATTCCTTTATTATGATACATTCCAATAAGTGAGTGCTGATTCCATGTGGAACTTAATAGTGAGACTTCAAAAGTTTTGTGAAAAATATAAAGGAAAGTTAATCTGGGTAAAAAATAAGAAATCCATATGTTTTTTTTTTCATAGTACAAACTTTCCGCGGACTTCTTCAAGTCTCTTTATATCCTTGTATGGCGCACACATGTGCCCACTGTTTATACAGTATGAAGTATTTATTCTCCAAAGGAAAAGCTTTTAAGTCAGGGACATGGACACACACACACACAGCTCCCACCCTCTCCCACCCAGCCATCTGGCCAAGTTCCCCTAACCAAATTCACATCTTATTTCAAGATGAATTCTATACATTTTAAGTTCAAGATTATAACAAACAATTCATAGAATTAGTGTCAAGAAAAAAAATCTGATATAAATATAAAAGTGTTTTGTAGAGCTATGCTACTATCTGGATCTATAAGTTATACAGACCTATAAATGACAACTGCTCAAGTCCTTCCATATAATCACAGAGACTAGAATACTTTCTAACAGTTCAAAGGGCTGTGCACACACAAAGTTTTCAACTTATAATTATGGTTAGAATCAATTTCTCAAAAGAATGCAGACATCCCACATTCATCTTTAGGAAACACATCTAAGCAAATTATCTTGAAACCAGTGAAACGGCTGACTAAATGCCATGAGGACCACACCCCTAGTCGTGGAATTTCCAGTAAATCTGAAAGGATACAGACGTAGAGAACGGCCATGAAGAAGTGAGGAATCACCCCGATGTGGGCTCTTTTTCTTTCTTTCGGCTCTGTTGCCGTCCAATAGAGAGCATCTAATATGTCTTGTCCAAACGATGAGAACAGACGATCAGCCACCTGCAAGACAGGATCGGGAAGTGCTTCTCAGTCCTCTTCCATACGTAACCGAGACTCCAAATGCAACCCAACAGTCTCTACCTGGAAAAGAGCAGGGACCTGGGGCACTTACCACTCCCAGCGCTTTCTTCTCCGGCACACAGAGGTCAAGCACTGCAGAATTTAAGCCAGACTTTGCCTAATCAGCTATGTTTGTGACAAAGAATGTCTTACATACGGGACACACAAAAGGGGTAGGCAAAGAATATGGTGGTTGCCGTGGTTTCAACTACTGCTGAGGCTTAGGACTCAAGCCTAGTTCTTCAGGACAGATAAATCATGTGGCACAACTTCCTAAACCCTGCCATATGTAACAGCTGCTGAATTCCACAAATGGTTTCCCTATGGAGTACACCAAGCAGGCGGACTCCTTAAAAACACAATCAGTAAACAACTAAAACAGGATGTGAGAAAGAGACACAGACGGTGCCTGTCCTTTAGCAGTCGCTGGATGTGGAACACTGCACGCATGATTCCCCCACACCACCCTAACCCTGCGGGCCCAGGCTCTGCCATCCCCCACACCACCCTAACCCTGCGGGCCCAGGCTCTGCCATCCCCCACACCACACTAATCCTGCGGGCCCAGGGTCCACTGCCACCTCACCACCCTAACCCTGCGGGCCCAGGCTCTGCCATCCCCCACACCACACTAATCCTGCGGGCCCAGGGTCCACTGCCACCTCACCACCCTAACCCTGCGGGCCCAGGGTCTGCCATCCCCCACACCACCCTAACCCTGCGGGCCCAGGGTCTGCCATCCCCCACACCACCCTAACCCTGTGGGCCCAGGGTCCGCCACCTCACCCTCTTCTTTCTCACCAGAGTATAATTTCCTACCATCTCTTGTTTGTTGTCTCATCTGCAAAGAACACATACCATTGGTCTCCCTCTGCATCTTCAGGGACCAGACAGGAAGCGCCGATGAAACGCATGCTGAATGGCAGCTAGCACCTGGGGGCCCTCTCCACTTACCCACCCACCTGCATCAACAACCCTTCTACACACTGTCTCATTTCTTCCTCGTAGCTCCTTCCACCTTCCGATGAGAAACTGAGGGATAGACACTGGGCAACCAGCACTCATGTTCAGAATAACCAGGCCATAACGGACTAGAGGAGGATGCCAGGACTGGATCAGAGGAAGTTTGTTTCCGGGCTAGAGCAGATTTTTGTCTACTAGGCTTATGCCACACCATCAATCAGTCTACAAAGTGAAGCAGTATTTCAGTTATTTTAATCAGCAGTTTTTAGACTCTTTTCCGTGGTCTGTTTTCAGTGAGGGCTTTGCAAGTCAGGAGGCACACACATGAAGTCTGAGGGCAGGAGACGCCCTGGTGCCCTAAAAGAGAAAGGCAGCTGAAGGAGTCTGGCAGGGTGCTAGCAGGCCAGCCGCTCCAGTACGGGAGGAAAGGGGGACGGCTCTCCGTGGGAAGGGGGAGCTCAGCAGGCTGCCCCACTCGGTGAGCTTCATCCACATTAACCCCTGGCAGACGCAGCCAGGCTCCCCAGGGAAGCTGGGGTGTGGTTCTAGCGCCTCCTGGTGTTGGTTTTAGGCACAACCACAACAGCTTCTCAGACTGAAAGGCCTTCTCTCCCACAGCAGCATATCACCACAGCCGCCTGCAGCCCCACGGCGACCCACCTGCCCACTCACTAGGAACTCTCTACATTAAGTCAAAAGGCAGATTCAGCTTGCATGTGTCCCTAGAAAGAAGTACAGGGAAATGTAACCTGGATTTCATAATTTATAAATAACTCGGAGTTGTTTACCATTAAAGTGATTAAGACTCTGCCTATCCCAAAAGGTTAGATACCACATGTTTGCTTTAATCTAACCTCTATAATTTTTCTTTTTGTTTGTCTGTCTGTTTTTGAACCTGTCATTGATACTGTCTCAACCCATGTGCTTTGAAAAATTGAACTTGCATTATTTCTAACATATTGTCTACTCAATACTATGTCAATTAATTCCATGACACTGTATATTGTTGCTGATGTTTTGTTGGGGCTTTTAACTGACCGGGACTTTACTCTGCTAGCTCTGCCCTCAGACCAGGGAGGGTCACCCCAAGTGGCCACTGGGCTTGTCTGGACAATAGGATGCTGGACTCTATGCTGGGTATATGCTTGCAACAAAGGAATCTCAACTGAACTTGAACTGTGGTTATGCAGCAAGGTGGAGGAATCCACCATGGATGGAGGGTTGTGGGACGGGTGGGGGGAATCCCAGTACCTATAAAACTGTTTCACATAATACAATGTTACTAACAATAAAAAAGACTCTGCCTATCAAGCAAGGCCCTTTTTGGTAAAGAGAATATATAATTGTTGACTATATAATTGTTCAATTTACTTTGTGTAAATGTAGACTTTCACATGCTGATTGCTTTTAAGTGAAATACACTGTATTAAAACTCAGTACTTAAATTGGAAAACTCTGCAAAAATTTCAAGGCAATTTAAAATGTACATCTATTATAGCAAACATATAACATTTATTTTATAATTTTTAAAGCTCTTGCAAGAAAAGCACACATGGGTTCAACAAATTTATGGGCAACCGTTTTCCAAGAACTTGACAGTTTAAAGCCAAGCCGTCAGGCCAGCAGTCACCGTTTCTGAATTCTTGAGGAGCCACCGGGCTGTGAGTACATGTAGTTCCAAGTGTGTCCTTTGATCGGGTACCTGAGTAACAGCTCCACCCCTAACCCATTATATCAGAATCTACATTCTAACAGTAGCCTCAAGTGATGGCGGTCCGGTCATTTGTCAGTAGACCAACTTTCCTGCCTGCAGGTGGCGTCCCTGTTGAAGAGCTGACGCTGCGAGCCTTGGCACGTGGGGTGCGGGTGCACGTCCTTACCTCCAGCATGTTGTAGATGATGTAGAGCTTGATGACAGACTGGCCCCGAATCAGGTGGTACATCATGGAGTAGTCAACATAGTGCATCATGACATAGCAGATCACCAGAATAACACCCTTCAAAACGTCACAGACCTGGGCTGGCTGAAGCAAACGTCTGTCCCTAAAATATACAAGAAGCGATAAAAAGGTAAGTTTCACATGACAGGATCTCAAAAATAAATCATCATTACTCGACATATATTGGCACACAAAGGTAACAACGAGAATGAGGTTGCTCTTTCAAAAAACGTGGGTGAGACCTGTACCCTATATTGCGTGTCTGGTTTCAAGTGTAGCTCTGCCCCCATTCCAACTTCCTGCTAATGTGCAGTGTGCAAGGAAACAGGAAATGGATCAAGCGGCGGGGTCTCTGCTACCCACGAGACACCCCAGGGTCCTTGCTTTGGGCTTTGGCTTGATCCAGCCCTTGATCGCAGCTGGGTGATCTCGGTCGGTCTCTCCCTCTGTCTTTCAAATAAACAGATAAATCATGACTTGATTACAGACTTTTAAGATTATTCATTTAAAAATTTAAAAAAAACTCCAAACTGACAAGGAAAGTTACACTGATTGTGAAACATTCTGCCCAAATACAATAAAGACATCAAATCAGAATTACCACTGGAAGTCAGCAACTTAAGAAAAGATTTATTTGAAAAGCCGAACAACAAAGGGAGGGAGGGAGATCTTCCACGTGCTGCTTCACTCCCCAGCTGGCTGCAGCAAGCAGGTCTAGGACTGGCTCAAGCTAGAAGCCAGATGCTCCACCCCAGGGCTCCTAGTGGGTGCTGGGGACCCAATATTTAGGCCACTTGCTGCTGCCTTGCCAGGTGCTATAACATGAAGCTGGATTGGAAGTGAAATAACTGGAACCGAAACTTGGGATCATATGGGATGCTAGTACTGAAAGCCAAGGCTTAAACCACTGTGTAGCCCACAGAAGTTGGCAATCTCAGGGCTGGTTCTGCAGGCTAAAGCTCTGCTTGCATCACTGGCATCCCTATGGGCACCGGTTCAATTCCTGGCTATTCAACTTGCAATTCAGCTCATTGCTAATGTGCCTGGGAACACAATGGAAGATGGTCCAAGTGCTTGGCCCCCTACGCTCATACAGGAGACCTGGATGAAGCTCCTGGGTTTGCGTTGGCCCAGCTCCGGTTATAACCATTTGGGAAGCGAATCAGCAGATAGAAGATCTCTCTCTGCTTCTCTTTCTCTCTCTGTAACTTTTCCAAATAAATAAATGCATAAGTGAATAAATCTTAAAAACAAAACAAAAAACCCTGGCAATCTTAAATAAGGCCCAGTGCAGGTGAAGGCCCAGTGCAGGTGTCTTGACCAAACAAGCTCTATGGAAGAGCGTTCTGGGCTTATGGCATGAGCTGGAACCTCATCATGAGGCCCTTCTTACACACTGGTTGCCTTCCAGGCACATGGTTCTGCACCTTCACATAAAAGCTTAAAGCACTTTCTGCATACTGATTTATAAGGCGCTCACACTATGGCAGTGCAGTACTTTGCTGTGCAGACAGCCGGGGTGCAACGCACATGCCACCTTCCTACCTGAGTGGGTATCTGGGGTGAATTCCGACAGCTGGAGCTGCAGGGTTACAGCTGCCTGCCACTCAGACAGAAATGCTAAGCTTTTTACACCTGTACCTGGAGCACTGTCAGGAGGCCAGCTGCATATTTGAGAGTTATTTGTATTTCCTGTGAATGCTGCCCTCATATCTAGTTCTGATTTGTAGAATCATTTTTACATTATAAAACTTAGTCCTCTGTGACATGAATTCAGGTTTTTTGATAATTAGTAAGAGTGGAATGGTCTTTTATGTTTTACATCAGGGCTGAGAGTATAACAGGTTAAACCTAAACTGTGAAAAGAAACAGCAAAAAGTAAATACATTTATGATTTTGATCACTTGTGCATGATGGTGAGGCTGGAAAAGACTGAAGTAATTCCTTAACAGAGAACTGCTTCGTTTCCTGTCCCGGCAGCTTCTCTGAGCGATGCAATGACTGTGCAGGAGGCGCAGAGCGTCTTCACGGCCACCCTGTGGACTCGCCTGAGCAACAACCTCAGGTGAGCTCAGGGGCTCCATGGCCCTGGGCACCCTGCTCCCCTTCTCTGTTCCCCACCTACCCAAGCTCCGGAGCTCTTGCCTGTGCCCGTGCTGATGAGCGGCTCTTTTCTGCCAAAGATCCTTCCAGAGTTCAACAAGGGATACATAAATCTTGCAAAATGCCATCTGAAGCACTACCTTATGAGATGGCCAAAGCCCATTCTTTGAGCTGCTGTAACAGGACCTCATGTTTGTTTCCTAAAATGCAACCCTGACTTAGCCGTGGATCTGACTGATCTGTTTATGGACAGAGCACGAGACAACACTGCAAAAGTGTCGAGGGCGAATCCTCTAGATGGTACCCAGGACAGGCTGGAAGAAGATGACGAGATACAGGGCTGACCCAAGGAATCCAACTAGAGACAGGTCAGAAGTGGCCTAAGCCAGCTTTCATGTATTGAGATGGGCACACACACACACACACACACACACACACCAACAAAAAAACTGAGAACCCGGTGCAACTGCCCAGGCTAAATCCTCTCCTGGCACATGCTGGGATCATATAGGTGTTAGTTCATGTGTCAGCTGCTCCACTTCTATCCAGCGCCCTGCTTATGTTCTGGGAAAGCAGTCGAGGACCCTGCACCCACCTGGGAGACCCAGAGGAGGCTCCTGGCTCCTGGCTCCTGCCTTTGGATTGGCTCAGTTCCATTGTGCCTACTTTGTGAGTGAACCAGCTAATGGAAGATATCTCTCTCTGTCTGTTTCTTTTCCTCTCTCTGTAAATCTGCCTTTCCAGGGAAAATAAATCTTTTTAAAAAAAGAAAAAGAAAGAAAGGAAAGCAGATTGAAATTATTCTTAGCGGTTTAAGCTAGGATTTTGGGTAAGAGTACAAGGACAAACCGGCTTGCTCCTGTTGTGACTTCTCTGTCCCATGACTTCCTTTCCTCCAGCGCTGTTCCTTCCTCCTGCACGGACTTGGTTCTCTCCCTGTGGTACCCAGAGCACTGTCCATCTGCCACACCCCAGCTCAGCTCACAGATCTCCACCACGGCCACTGTCCGGGTGACATCTGTCCCTTACTTCAGTCGTCAATCACTCGGTCTTGTTCACGTACACACATTCCTAATTCGAACACTCTGAAGAGCAGCCACTCTGAATGCTCCTGGCCTGTATGCAGACATCTCTGTTGGGATGGTGGGGAAGAAACAATGGGTGTTCAGCAAGGAGGTCAAATACCTGCCCCTTGCAAGCACGGCACAGCGCAGGCTGTGCTGAAGATCACCCAGCCCTCGGCACGGGCCTTTGTGCCCGTATTGAACTGAAGGTTGTGTTCTATGAAAACAATAACTAGGGTAGTACTAATTAACTTTTATTAATGACAAAACACTGGGCCCAGCACAATAGCTCAGTAGCTTAAGTCCTTGCCTTGCTTATGCTGGGATCCCATATGGCCCCCAGTTCTAATTTAGGTGCCTTAGCTTCCCATCCAGCTCCATGGTTCTGGCCTGAGAAAGCAGTTGAGAATGGCTCAAAGCTTTGGGACCCTACACTCGTGTGGGAGACCCGGAGGAGGCTCCTGGTTCCTGGCTTTGGATGGGCTCAGCTCTGGCCATTGCGGCCGCTTGGGGAGTGAATCATCAGACACAGGATCTTCGTCTCTGGTCCTTTCTCCTCTCTGTATATCTGACTTTGCAATAAAAATAAATAAATAAATAAATAAATAAATAAATAAAACAAAATGATTTTGACAGCTAGTTATAGTAGAAAACTATACATAAGGCCTTTGGTATTATAATGGCATCTAGTTAAGTAATCAAAGGCAAAGTTAATTTTAATTAAGAATAAAGGAATTAGGGCCCGGCGGCGTGGCCTAGCGGATAAAGTCCTCACCTTGAACGCACCAGGATCCCATGTGGGCGCCGGTTCTAATCCCGGCAGCTCCACTTCCCTTCCAGCTCCCTGCCTGTGGCCTGGGAAAGCAGTCGAGGATGGCCCAAAGCTTTGGGACCCTGCACCCGCGTGGGAGACCCGGAAGAAGCTCCTGGCTTCTGGCTTCGGATCGGCATAGCATGGGCCATTGCGCTCACTTGGGGAGTGAATCATCGGACGGAAGATCTTCCTCTCTGTCTCTCCTCCTCTCTGTATGTCTGACTTTCCAATAAATAAATAAATCGTTTAAAAACAATTTAAAAAAAGAATAAAGGAATTGAATCAAATTTGTTCTCTTTATATTAATGAAAAGCTTGGATAAAGGACTTACTGGCTACTGTCCAACTGCATTCTTTATAAACATGCTTGCAACAAAGGAATAACGCAGTACTGTTGTATATAGAAGGAACACCGCAGTTAGTCAGACATAATTAGAAACTAGAGCTACCAAATATTGGAAATGTCTATTAAAGTGATATAATATCACACTTTTTGAACCAGGTAGGTTAAAACAGAAAAATTAAGGGTTAATGATTTACAGCTGGTGCTGTGGTATAGCAGATACAGTCACAGACTGTAATGCTACCGTCCCACCTGTTTCGAATCCCCACAGCTCCACTTCCAGTCCCACTCCCTGCTAATGTAACCTGAAGAAGCTGCAGAAGACGGCCCAAGTGTCTGAGCCCCTGCTACCTGTGTGCAAGACCTGGATGAAGCTGTTGGCTCCTGGCATCAGCATGGACCAGTACCAGCTGTAGAGGCCAGCTGGGAAGTGAACCACCTGACGGAAGACAAATTTCTCTCTCTTCCCTTACCCCTTTCAAATAAATAAATAAATCTCTTTCTTAGAAGAAGAGGCAATGACGAATCCAGTTTTACCTTAGCTAGAATTGCAACAAAACAAAACTGCAGAAATTCCTTATATTAAAATTCAATTACTTTGTGGAATGTACTGTTGTACGCACTCATTAGGCACGCCTAATTACTAATTTTCCACTCAGAACAAACCTCTGAGGAAGATCCCATCACCGCCTCAGTTCCATGTGTGTGGCAGGGCGTAGTCACGTGTGCGTGCGGCTGCGCGGAGCATCTGTCACTGGCTGGCAAGCAGGAAGCTGACCC